TAACTCCAACTCTCGACAGTGCACACCGTACTGTCACCTTATCACTGTGAAGTGGCCTCTCATGGAGCTCTCTGGGATTGTTACCACTCCAATGGAGCATATTCTGCTTGTTGACATATCCGGATAGGTGAAAACGTGCCTCATCACTAAACAAAACAATTGCGTCAGGGGGTAAAATTTCCAATAGCGTTTCGCACACCGTTATTCGGTTCTGGAAATCACGTGGTGATAATTCTTGCACAACAACGATCTTATAGGGATTGAAGTGAAGAGATTCGTGAAGAATTCGGCGCATTGAACGATTGGATATGTCTAGGGTGACTGCACGTTTGCGAGCGGAGTGTCTTGGAGATCTCAAAATCGACTGTCGAACTGCCTCCACATTTTCTGGCGTTGTAACGGTCCGTTGTCATCCTGATGGTTTTTAACCACACTCCTGGTTGTCCTAAAGTTCTCTATCCACAAAACAATCGATTTCCGGTCGGGAATCGGACCTCTGGGCTTAATTCCGAGGTGAGTATGGAACACAGGCTGCACCGCCACGTAGGAATGGTTGTTCGAAAAATAGGCTTCGACAGCAAACGCGCGCTGCTCACTCGTCCACCTCATGTTTCCTACTGAGGGGTATTAGACAGAAACTTCCGCGACTGCTGCATTCACCGAGCCTATCCCCACTTTTCTGCGACCTCCCCTCCTTTCACAATGCGTCTTCACAAAAAGTAAATGTTGTATTAATATAATTATTATTTCTGAACGTTATCCACAGTCCTGTTTTTATCTAAAACACATAGTTTCGGAGATTGGATTCTGTTTCCGCCTTCAGGTGGCACCTAATCAGGTGGTCCAAATCGTTAGAGCTAGTCCTTATTTCCGTAAGTGTTACTTGAAGACGGAGACAGAGTCCAGTCTCCGAAATGTTATGTCCTGAACAGAAGCAGGACGATGGTTGGGCCAGATCGATAGAGCTAGTCCTTATCTCCGTAGGTGCCGTCTGAAGTCGGAGACACAGTCCAGTCTCCGAAACGGTGTGCATTAAACAAAAATAGGACGATGGATTATACCCAGAAACAATATTTTCATTGAATTTTCTGCTCTAGAATTATATTGTAACGTAAACTAGTGACTTGTACACGGAGTTTGGATTGGTGAATAGATTTATAGGATATTCACAAGTCGAGACTACAAATAATTAAATCACTCTAAATATTGCTATAGCTATAGCACAAAGAAAGGTTTTCAAATTCTGCTTACTAGTCCATCCTCAATGCTCAGTCCTCTGGAACTGTATATATACACGTATATATCGAAGCTGTCTCTGGACTCTGTATCTCAGCCTGACTTGGCTTCACGCGGGCCGCAGATATAACACCAAGTACAATAGCTCATGCCTTTGTTTTTCGCCGTTGCCATGAAAGCGTGTGTCAACTCGCCGTTGTAACGGAAACTTAACATTTACTTAGCCATTGTTTATCAATAGCCTGTTCCAGCTGGTCGTCACGGAAACGTGTTCCAACAAGCCGTTGCCTAGCAATGGCCGTCTTTCATGACTTCACTGTTTCGGCTTTCAGGTGTCATGTCACAATATTTTACAAAATCGGCAAGGATGCTCAGTTTGCCATGTTTGGTGAATATGAAAATATGTAAAGAAAGGCAAACTTGTCCCTGTACTTGTCTAATTAGGCACTACGCCATGGAGGCGTATGGTGAAATGGATGTATAGATCCACATTTTCTTGACCTCGGCAATAGTTTGAGGTGAATGGTTAGCTTTACACCAAGGCAGCTTTACCCCCGGGGAAAAGACCCCGGTACCCATTGGACAGGAGGCTGGGTGGGCCCCAGATTCGGTCTGGACGACGTGGAAAAGAGAAAATTCATGAACCTACCGCGACTCGAACTCCGACCCCTCCGTCGTCCAGCCTATAGCCAGTTGCTATCCAGGCTCCGTATGGAAAGATGCACACGAAGAAACGACTGTAATCTTGTGTTATTTTGTGACAAGAATCTGTCCTGTTGTTCCGGAATGTCCTTGTCTCATCCGACAAGCGTATTTTGAGAAGTAACATTCGAAAGACCTTACATACAAAAAACTTTTACGCTACGCATGGACATTAAAACATCGACTTAGAAGTTCGAGTTCTCGTTACTTACATTTACGGGGTCGGCGTAATTGTCGATGCCGCACGTGGGCTGGTTGAAATCGTTGCGCTCAAAAGGCACGGCTGGGTAGTCGAAATTGAATGTGTCGGCTGATGAGCCCCCAACACCAACGGCTTTCTCATGGTTACCGGTCATGTGATTCAGTATAACATCTACGTACACCCTGCAAATTAAGGGAAGAATGAAAAGTTAACAACAAACAGAGGCACCCATCTTGAAAGTCTCGTATTATTATGAGCTATCTCCACACTGACATGCGCACACTAATGTCCTCAGTCTATTACAGTCTCCACTATCCGTTTCCTGGCAACGGATTTTAACACAGGAACTGTAACAGTCTCGCTAAATTACACACTCCAAATATCACTGTGCTATAGCACCCGTAAAGTCTTCTCTTCACAGCCTGAATGTCAAATGAACTCATAGCGCTATCTTTCAGCCTCAATTGCGGAACTCAGCTCTCGACTAACTGCTCACGTGGAACTCCGGAACTCGCCTGCAGGTTCAGAGGCAGAGTTACTCTGCGACTGGCGGTTTACCGCCAATCAGTTCGTCTTGGCGACAAGCCCCTTGAGACCCACGACCAGAATTTTTATTTTCCAACTGAACATTTGCAGTTATAATCCTTATGTAACATCTTCTCTGATGAAAGGACGGGTCTGTCGCTTACATTTGGTATCGACCTTCGCCTGTGCATTCATTCTCAGGTTCGAGTCCCGTGGGACTCATGACCACATTTTAGTGTCTCAGATTCGAGACTTTCACAACCTGGAGGGCCAGGTACCCGTATTAATATCCCCCAGGAACAGGGTGGCCAGGTTATACCCCCAGACACTGGGTTCCCTTTTCGTCGCCTACCTGTGCCCCGGGTGATTATGATAATGGAGAATTTGTTGGAATTAAGATTGACAGGGGAAACCGAAGTACTCAGAGAAAACCTGCTCCAGCGCCACTTCGCCCATCACAAATCCCACTTGACCAGACCCGGGATCAAACCCGGGCCGCCGCGGTGGAAAGCCAGCGACTAACCGCTTGAGCTATGGCGCGGCCCCACTTTCGTTTTAGTCGCATGTGGAAGACGTTATTTTCAATGAAAACTTAAATTCGTGGGCTTCGCCACCCGATCCCACCTCGCACACGACAGTGGTAGCGTTCAGATATACTTCCCGAGGAGCAGAAGGACACGACGGGAGTCCACTGACAGTGACTAACAGCAGCATTTGAATTTACATCGCTGGTTTCTTTAATAGCCCTATATATGTGGGAAATTTGCTCTTGTAGTAGAGAGACCAAAGGTTTCCAAGTTTGGCACAAAGCTTCTGCACTTGCAGACCATTACATATCTGTAGGCCAGGCAGAACCATGACATGAAGATGGGAAACAGATGTCCTGGAACGATAATGACAACTGAAAACCTGATTCAGGAGGAAATTAATAGGAGATTGAATTCGGGCAATGCTTGCTACCATTCAGTCCAGAACATTTTGTCTTCTCGTGTGCTGCCTAAAAACTTAAAAACTAGAATATAGAGAACAATAATTTTGCCTGTGCTTCTGTATGGGTATGAAAATTTGGTCTCTGACATAAAGGGAGGAACAAAGACTGAGGGTGTTGAGGAGAATATTTGGACCGAAGAGAGATGAAGTGACAGGAGGTTGAAGATAACTGCATAACGAGGAGCTTCATAACTTGTACTCTTCTCCAAGTATAGTTAGTATGATCAAGTCAAGGAGGATGTGATGGGCAGGGCATGTAGCACGAATGGGAGAGAAGAGGAATGCATATAGGATATTGGTGCGAAAGCCAGAATGAAAGAGATTACTAGGAAGACAAAGACATGGATGGGTCGACAATATTCAAATGTATCTTAAATAGGATGAGGCGGAATGGACTGGATGGATCTGGCTCAGAATGCGGACCAGTGGAGGCCTCTTGTAAACACGGCAATGAACCTTCAGGTTCCATAAAATGCTGGGAACCTGTTGAGAAGCTGCACTGTTATGATGCCGAGCTGGGTGCGGTTTAGGATACCTGTTCAAGGATAAGTCCCTAGGGTAAAACCCCTTCCCGAATCATAATGAAACACCTTTCTCTTATCTAATCCAAAGTAGAAATGTAACATTTATTAACTCAACAAACAGCAAAATTAGTCTAAGCAAATCTTGTCTACTTGCAATCATTTCTCCTGTCTACTAAGGTTACGTGGCCAGGCTGTGACAAACAGATCTCTACTTACAAAATACAGCAACTCTGTTGATGTTGAACATGGTAATGCCTGAGACTTGTAGAGGTCTGTGGTCTACCTGCCCCCTGTTGCCTGCCGCCTATGTGTAGCTGCTCCCCCTGGAGGATGGACCGTTTATCTGTCTCGGAGCACTTGTTCCGTCAAGAAGAACTGCCTTCCATTTCTGTTGTATAAACCTTAAATATTCTGTTTTCCCCAGGCACATTGTAACAGAATTTACAATTGTACGATCATCTTTCTTTATCATCTCTCGTTTTCTAAACTGACAAGTGATTGCTAGACACCGTACAGACGTCATAGGGTATGTGACCCATCTCCTCGTAACATTTGTTCACAGCTTCATCTTTAGTAATATTATTCATCACCTTGACATCCGNAGTCGTCTCATAACAGCACAACTGGCGGCTTCTCAAGAAGGGATTACGCAGGATGTATATCAATACAAATTTCAGTGCCGCAAATCTCTGAATTTTGTTACTGCTTTGTAATTATTTCTGTAACGAAAGCGTAAATGGCGACGGAATTACCTGATACCAACTGCGTTGCAGCGACTGACCATGGACCTGAAGGCCGTCTCATTTCCTGAGCGACTAACAATCTTCAAAGAAATTGGTTGGTACCTCTCCCACCACGGCCGGTTGGGTGAGTTCACTATGACGTTCTCCTGAACGGGGGACACCTGGCAACAAATAAAAAAGTTACATATTGCCACGTAGTATGTGTGTGTCTATAGATGAGGGTTCGGATTGGTGAATAGATTTGGTGATCACTTACATGTCCTTACTACAACTAATTTTTAACACCATAGCTCTTTGAACACTTTGCTGTTTACTAGAGCCCAGTCTATACTAGGCGTTTCCTGGTAACGGCTGGAACACTGGCTATTCCTCTACCTCCGGACTCACACAATCCCGTACCGAACTGAACTGACTCTCAGCTGACCTTATCCCTGGCTTATAACATCTCAACACGGACCACACAGAGACACCCACTGTTCCCGCCGACTCGTCCAGTTACGAGTTCACACGCTACAATATGTAATTTTTATGCATGACATATAATTCAGATTAACAATAAAGCAACATCACGAACTGCCACATTAATTTGTTTGCCGGACTGCCGGATAGATGTCAGTACGAGTCGGTAACCTCCAGCTACCGGCCATCGAGACACAAGTTTCCTTGGTTTTCCTCAGTTTCCAAGCAAACGCTGAGATCGTGGCCAAGTTGCTACTGCGTGCTTCTCATGCAGCCCCTCCCGGCTTAAATTCATGAAAAATAAACCATTTGGCCATAAAGACCACGAAATTATTCTTCCAAATTGTGCAAATCGACACTTAATTTAGAAAATACAAAAAATCTCGGCTTTACATAATCATTCCAGCCTCACTATGGCCCTGGGGTCTACTCAGCCTCCATCTGGGGCTCATGACCAGATATTAATTATTACCGTTTGACAGTTACGGTCTTGTCTCTGTGGGGCACCTTCTCTGACGAGAGGACGGGTCTGTCTTTTGTATATGCTGCTGGCTCTTGCCTTGAGTGGGATTCGAACCTACGATCTCAGTGTTAGAGTGGGCGAAGACGGTTCGTGCCGAAACCGCGCGGCCGGCCACTGTGATCAGCTCGTCATTGTACACAGTGTAATTTAACGTAAAACAAAGTTGACAAGCGCACAGAACACCATTTCTTAATTATATTACACAAAAAATAAACGAATTAACTTCATTTCACTCATCGCTTTTTCTTTTGGTTTTCATATTTAAGAACCAAGTGCCCTGCCAGATTTTGTCCCTTATAAGGGGGTTTTACTGTGCTTAAAAATTTTACCTGTTTGGTATTCTTTGCAGCATTAACGTTTTATAACATGTCTCCTTGTTGTCACTTATTGCAGTCACAAGTCTTGTGGATTGAAAGAAGAAATGCTAACACAATTTTCATACAACCTACCTGAAGACCAGCGTAGCCTTTCGGGGCGAGGAATCTCTCACACTCCTCGGCGATGTCTTCAAATTTCCATTCGAAAAGATGCACAATAGCGCTTCTATTAGCCCATACATTGGGATCTTTCTGGCTGTGGACCCCCACAGTTGAGACCACAAGGCATACCAAAGACAAGAACTGAAACCTTTCAATCATATTTGACGGCCAGAAGAGCCAATCTGTCTCAACTCTCCGTTCGTCTGAATTAAGTGTTGTATCGTTGTGGCTTATATACTGCCAAACAGTTTAATCAGAACATATGACTGATAAAAGCGGACCTTCGCATTTTGATATATATAAAGTAAAGGTATCACTATAACAGGCCTTGGAGGCCATTAGGGTTGTGAGATGTTGAGGTTCCAACCTTTTCTCTAGCTCACAGATGGCGGCAAGGTTGTCAGCCCTACCCGCCGGCCGCCCTTTACCCCCGAGAATATTTCTGGTACTCATTTCTGTTAGATGCTGAGTCGACCCCAGGGCCATAGTGCGGCTGGAAGGATTAGGTCAATTGAAAAAATCCAATTACCTCATCGGGACTTGATCCCGCGACCTTTCGGCTTGTAGCATAGTGCCTCAACCAACTACGCTAACGCATACACACATATATACAGGGTGTCCCAGGAGGAATGTGCCAAACTTCGGGAGGGTGTTCCTTATGTTAAAGTATACCGATATAACCCAAAACACCTATGTCCAAAGTTGAACGGTTACGGAGATAATGGCCAGAGAAGTGTCAAACTTTGACCGGGGTTACACACTTGTTGATTACAAAATACATATTAAAACTGGCAGGAATATGTGGATTCTGTAATGTTAATAATGTACGTAACATCAAACTAACTTGTGAGTGACGGAAAGCCATAAAATTGAAGTACAAAATACTCGCTCGCCATGTCATAATTGTCCTTAGGTTTCCAAGCAGTATACATAACACATGACTGGCGAGCGATGACGTAACGTGCTGACTGCGCGTTCTGGTATGAGCCAACTACATAAGCACGGCTAGGGAGTATCATCGCACTCAAGGACAAACATAGATAAGGGCTCTCAGCTGAGAGGTACAGCGAGGTACAGTGCTTGGACCTGCCAGAAGACCACACTTTTCTTGGGCCATTATCTCCGTAACCGTTCAACTTTGGACATAGGTGTTTTGGGTTATATCGGCATACTTTAACATAAGGAACACCCTCCCGAAGTTTGGCACATTCCTCCTGGGACACCCTGTATATATATATAAAACGGGGGGCATTAACATATTATTGCCCCCCGTTTTCACACAAATATAATCAACATGAAAAAGACTTAATATTAAGACAAAAGTTCGACAAGCTGCCTTCGACATAGAGCGCCAGTTCTTGTGCTCGGCAAGGGAAGTTTGACAACATGCAGTAGCTTAGAGGGGTTTGCTTCTTGCGCGTCCAACATCTGGACTATAGTGCGCTAAGCGGAAAGACAATTAATGGACGATAAATTGGAATGAATGGGAAAGAAACTGGGGTTTTGGACTTTCTCCACCTTCTGGTATTCTAGAAACTAGAAAACACAACGTTTTGGAAATTGGATCTGTTTTCGTCCTCAGGTGAGAGGGGGAGACACTCTATTGGGCCCCTTACAGAACACTGTTACACATACACATACACACACTAGTGTCAACACTCACGTCCTCACTGCTGTTGCTTGGTAGCGGCTTCCAACAGCATACGTTCCCCTTCCACTGGGTTCCCGAACACAGTTACCAGCTTTTCACAGCAACAGCTCACAACAGCTGACCCTCAGCAGTCATGTAACTAACTCACCAACCAGCTCTCTGCAGAGTCAGAGTCAGATTTACTTTAAGACTGGCAGTTTAGCGCCAATCAGTTTATCTTGGCGACAAGCCCCTTGAGAATCACAACCAGTGTTCTTTTTCAACTGAACACTTGCGATCATAGTCCTAGCGTAACATCCTCTATGACGAGAGGATGGGTCTATCGTTTACTACTGCTGCTGGTCTTCGCCAGCGCAGTCATTTTCGGGTCCGAGTCCCGTGGAGCTCATGATCACATTTTACTGTCTCAGATTGGAGACTCCCACAACCTGGAAGGTCAGGTCCCGTATTTATGTCCCCGAGGAAGAGGGTGACCCAGTTACACCCCCAGACGCTAGGTAGAGGCACCTGACCTCTACGGAAGAAACTCTCTGCAGCTCATAGCAGGTCCTGTTTAAAACATATCGGCACAGACCACACAGAAAACACTTTTCCGCTGTTGCAGTGCGATTGTTGCGTTCGTGTCTGTTGGGGTGATCACTGCTCAACCATTACCTAGCAACGGTCGTCGTTTTCAGAGCCATTATTTAACAACGGCTGTTGTGTAGTTGCTTATGCTGTGGTCGTTGCCTAGCATCGGATCTGCATGCAAAATTATGCTGTAAATTCGGCGCTGAAATCCAATGTGGTACTCTAGGATATAGCAATTATCATGAGTTTCCAATAGTTCCGACCAGTTCAGCCTAGTCATAATGTGTCCGACTCCTTTACAAATCCATGAGGATTGAGCTAAAAATATGTAACAATTAATGGGTGTCTTTTCTACAGTGGACAGGATTGTTACAAGACAACTGCAGCGGATTCTACAGCTTGGAACTCAGCACTGTGGTGCTAAGGTGTCCCGCCCACAAATAAACGTGAAGTCATTTGTTTTGTCCTCTGCAATGTTAGTTTGAAAACCGATCTGGACACTGCGGAGAAGAGGCGTTTCTTGTCTTTGCCAGGAATTGAACTCCATTTTCTCGGTCATCTGGCCCGATATCACCGATTTCTTCACAAAATTATGATGCCCTCAAGAGCCTGGTAAAACTTAAAAATTTTGGAACAATACTAAGAAATCAAAATTGCATTCAGGAAGGAATTCCGTACAGGTTAATACTGGAAATGCTTCCTGATCGTTTCGCTCCTGTCTGCTATAAACAGACTGCAGATTAAAATACTGTCACGTGTAAGGGTTTCCGCGTGACTTATAAGACGGGCATTGGGTGGGATGACTCGGAACGACAGGCAATTACAGCGCCTTCGCTTGTCTACACACTTTACATTTCACCGTTACACGCGCACTAGGGTTTTCAGTCTTCACCAGTCGCATCCTGGTAACGGATTTATAACAGTCTCACTGTCACTGCAACACACATGAAGTCTTCTTTGCATTGCCTAATTCTTTTCTGCCAAATCAATTCAATTCCTGTGCTCCCAAACTGATATCCCGGCAGGCTGGCTTCTTGAAACTCGACTGAACTCTTCTTTATAACAACTTTGCACGGACCACGCAGAAAATAGCTTCTCTATTGCTGGGAAGTCGTGTATACAGTCACTCGATTGTTGCGTGAGTATTCGTTGCCGGGGGAATTTGTTTACCGAGTCGTTGCAGTTTCTTTTCTATACACGCATGATCTTCTTCTTCTCCTATGGCGCAACAGCCCGATGTCGGGCCTTGGCCTCCCTTATCAAGCCCTTCCATTCCTCTCTATCCTGCACTGCTCTCTTCCAGTTCCTTAAGCCCATTAAGTTCTTTGCATCTTCTTCCACCGCATCAATCCATCTAGTTCTTGGTTTCCCAGCATGTCTCCTGCCGCCTGTTGTACTGTATAATATTTTCTTTGGGATACGCTCCTTATCCATTCCCAGCCCATTGCAATCTTTTAAGCTTTATCGTCACTGAGATCTCTGGCTCCTTATGTAATTTGTATAACTCTTTATTATATCTTTTTCGCCATATCCCATTCTCTTTTATTGGTCCATAAATTCGCCTTAGGATTTTCCTCTCGAAAGAACTGATGACTGATTCCTCTTTCTTGTTTAGCGTCCAACCCTCACATCCATAATAAAGCACCGGTCTTATCATTGTTTTATATATTTTTGTTTTAATCGCTCGGTGTATATCCTTTGATCTAAAAACTGATAGTAACGAGAAATATGCATTATTCGCTAGTTTTATTCTTCTTGTTATTTCATGATTTTCCTCTCCATTTTTGTGGAATTTCGATCATACACGCATATGCATGGAAATTATTCAAATGAATAGGCTGCTGTAATGAACCTTTCGCTACCATAAACTGTTGGGACGTTACTGAGTAGCGGCACAACTGGCGGCTTCCGAAGAAGGGCCCGGCTCCACGAAGTTAGTTATCGAAATAATATCCAGGGTAGTTCTTTAGATGTCCGTGTTGTATGCGACATTTTCCATCCGTGGGCCAAGTTTACAGCCGTGGCACACGCATATCCGTGTGATCACACGGTCACTTGGCTTCGTGTCCGTGTCAATTTCGAGTACTACAACAGTAACAAATACCCCCCCCACCATGTGTGCTTAGCCATATTCGGTCGTTGTTTGCTAACGGCCACTCATCAAGTCTTGGGATTACGGAGTCCACGCATCCAATAAAAAAGCAGACAAATCCTGCGTGTGTATTTGATGTAACTACTTCTCAAGAGGTCTGTCACTGGAGATTTCATCACGAAATCTGGTATTTTCCCATCTTTGTACGTCGCGATTATGATTATCAAAAGTCGTCCATATTTAAAAACATGTTTTGCAAGCGTGAGGTGTATTATTGTCACTGCGCAACTTCCGGTAACTATAGCAACGGACTATCAAGCATACAGGCGTAAGCGAAGAACGAGGGAACTTTTTTTTTTTTCAGTGTACCTTGTCTATCATGTAACTGTTGGCAAACGCAAATCTGATCCTGTGCTTAAATAAATAATGATTTTGCCATGAAGGTGTATGAGGGAGTGAACGTATGGATCCATATTTTCTTGACCTCGGCACTAGTTGCAGATGAGTGGTCAGCTTCACGCCCCGACCGATTTACCTCGGGGAAAGAGCCTCAGGTACCTACTGGATAGGAGGCTGCGTGGACTCCAGAGCCCCAAACTGGACGACGTGTAGAAGAGAAAGATTTTTGACCCTACCGGGACTCGAAATCCAACCCCTCGATCGTCCACCCCGTACAGTTGGTACAAAACATTGGCCACGAAGTTTAATTTTGTAACATCTAGGTAAAAAGGTAAAGCTATCCCTGTAACAGGCCGTGGAGGCACATAGGGTTCTGAGACGTCGAGGCTCCCACATTTTCTCTAGACAGTCTGCTCACAGATGGCGGTGAGGTTGTCAGTCTTACGCATCGGCTGCCCGTTAGCTGCAGGAAGATT